CGTACCCTTCTCCGCTGGGGTTTCGGAGCAGCGTGGCCGCACGCTCCGGGGCCAGAGCTCGCCAGGCTGCGCCCGCGATGCGCCAGGCGCTAGGACAGCCCCAGCGAGCAAAGGGCGCTGCTGTGCGGGCCTCGCCGGCGCCGCTCCCCGCACGCCAGGCCTCAGCCCGCGCGGCCCGTGTGACCGTTCTGCCCGGCAGCCGCGGCGCCGCTCTCCTCGCAAATGAGCCTGGGTGCTCCCATTTCCCTCGGGTGCAGCATTCTGCAATTCTGTAATGTGCTCGCATAAACCAGAGTAGTGATTATTGAAGATGACCATAATGTTCATTCTTTTACATTATTTTTTTTTTTCAGTTTGGTTCGACTTGTGGTCTTCTAAGAGGTCCTTTTTTAAAGTGATCTTCATGGAAACTTCTTTCCATATGATCTCAAAATGCACAAGGATCCACTTGACTACAATAAAAAATGTTACAGCTGCACATACTGTCTGAAAACATCACAGCTATAATGCATTCATGGGGTAAACAGGACCACCCCGTTTTGTGAAATACTGCTGTGTTAGTAGTTTAATTCAGAACACAGGATTATTTATCACTGCAAATCCTAGGGAAAATTAATCCTACTTCATTTTCTTCTTTTGAATATTTCTGTGACCTAGCCAAGATTTTTAAATGCAGTTTGATGCAGCTGCTTAATGAGACTCATATTTCACTTGGGAAAGCTAGGATAAGTGCTATATTTGTGTGAAATACTATGAAAGCTGTGCTTAAAGATGGAGCAGTGTAATTTTTTTCTCAAGAATTTAAATTGTTTGGTGTAGACAGATAACTAATTCAAAGTTGTGTCTTTCCTTCAGCACAGATTTGCTCTATATTGTTGACAGAGCATGTGGCATGTGGCAGCGGGAGTCGCTGAGCTGAATTCCTGTCTGGATTACAAATGTCAGTTTGGGAGATGATTATCTGGTTAGTAATAAATCCTGATCCATCACTGTTTGGCTATTTTTTCATAATTAGATGATTGTTACGAAAGAGAAATATTTCTATATTTCCTTACATTACTGAAGTACACTAATCCTTTGGTATAAAAGTTTCTTGAATTGTCTAAACACTTAACAGAAGGCCAGCAACTCTCTGAGAGACCAAAAAAAAAAGTTTTGCTTGTGTAAATTGTGATCTTCACTATTTCTTTCCTGCTGTCATTCCAGTCTATGTAATGCAGTTTTCCTGAATTCTGCCCATTTATAAATATGGTTTCTCAAAGTTTGTTTGAAACTGCATTCAAAAATCATGATAAATAGTGGTGGGTAGGGAAAGGAGGCTCTTTTTACTACAAGATTGCTGTGCCCCAGCCTAGAGATGCAGTCTTGAAAAGTCTCCACATTCTTAAAAACCTTTCTCTTGATGATAGGAGGCATTTGGGATTCTACAAGGAAATGCAAATTCCATTTGTTAATTACATAAAAGACATTAAAGTCTATTTCAAGGATCAGGGGAAAGCATGGATAAGCCATAGGTGAGTTTACATTCATTCTAGGATATATTATATTAAGAGGTTTCCCATAATTTTAAAACATTTTGATAAAATATCTGTGAGTTGTCATGACCCTTGTGGTGCTACAAATATGCTCCTAACATAAATGTAAGTAAATTACTGCTTAACCAGTAGGATAAAGTTCCACAAATCTCTTCTGAAACCTCTGTTTCATTTGACTGTTTGCACTTCAAATAGGCATATACATAAGGAATAAACCTTAGGGATGTCTCAAAAAAAATTCCTTTGATGTTCTGCCAGGCCAAACAGATTGTAGCAAAATCATGACAAATTGCTAGGATGGGTTTGGTTTTGTAAGAGTACTACTTTAATTTTAATAATAAAGAACATTAACTCTGTTAATATTAACTTCTTTGCTCATGTATGCCTATTTCTTTCTATAAGAAGGTTAAGTGTTGGTTAGAGCTGAACCTAGCAAAGGTTTAGCAGAGAGACTCATGCTAAAGGAGGTGTCTGTGGGCTCCTCCCTGCTTGACTCCACTGACAGGGAGCTTGGGGTGATGGTCACAAACTACCCCTGAGAAAGAACAGGCAACGCGCAAGCAAAGCAGTCGCTGTGGAAATACAATTGCCTCCTTCCCCTGAAAACAAACTGCCTCAGCAGAGGCATTTCTGAAGCAAGAGGTATTTCCTTCTCTCCAGGTTTGCTGCTGCCTTTTTCTGTGTTTGACTGTGTTTCTGTCTGTCACCAGCTGCCCCAGATTGGCAGTGAGAGCCCTTCCCTATGGCAGGGGGAGAGTAGGAAAGCAAAGGGAGACAGTAATTCTGCTTCTTGTTTCCTTCTGGTACAATTAATGTACCCGAGAGAAAGATAAAGAAGAGGTTTTAAATTCATGATCCTGGGAAATTATAGCAAATTATATAAATATATGCACTAGTTGCCACTGTTAGCATGTTGCCTGGCTCATGGGTTGTCCATGACAAAAGTCTGTTCATTCTCCTCATCTATTTGATGCATGAGTTGTGTGATGCTTCCTGTGTTTTGTACAGGTGCAGATGTGACAGGATAGACACAGGTGAGATTAAACACCTGATAGCCAGGCAGGCATCATTCTGTCATACTTTCAGGTAATTAACATATATATGTTGATAGATTTAAGTAGTCCCTGGAAACCATGTTTCACTTGGAACTGGAAATGGAAGATCTCCAAAATATCAGTTTAGCAGCTTATATTGCCCATATATGCAAAATAAGTTACATGTAGCTTATATGTAAGAGGCTTTTGACTGATACCTGGTCAAATTAACTCCTGGCTGCTTTGCGAGCAGTTTTCTGAGAGAGCCAACAACCTTCTCAGTGAGCACAAGAGATGGGGGAAGTTTTCACAGAATAGGGTTGTTTAGGCAAACTGCAAAGGGAAACTTCGTATTTACCAGTTACTTCACCATGCAGACCATTCCCTTCCGCTAGCCTTCTGCATGTGGGGTGCAGAATCATCCATTTACTCTAAGCGTATTCTGTCAGCTTTCTAGTCCTTTAGACTAGATTTTTGTCTTCCAAAGACATCTCTGTCTACAAAGTAGCAAGGCCAACAAAAGTGATTTTCATTCTCTTTCATTTTTACTAACTAAAATGAATGTTTTATTCTGGGCCACTCTAAAACAAAATATTCCGTTTTTCAGCTCTTTTTCACATTTTCAGAGCACTGAAAGGCTAGAGCTAGCAGTTCCCAGAAGCGTTCTCCCAGTCACATTCTCTAATCCTGAGGGAGTCTGTAATTTCTAAACACCATGATCAGTTTAACCTTTGCTGAAGAACTTAGTTTAACCTAGAGAAAATGATTTATTAGACCTCGGTTTAGCCATTTTTTTCTTTGTTTTCTG